CCAAAAAAAAGTTTCGCGGGAGAGCTATCAGGCCTATAGCTTTGGTGATGCAGAAAAAACGTCTTGATATAAAAGGTGTAGAATTACCAGGGCTACTAAACTGCTATCTCGAAATTTTTAAACTTTTGAATTTTGACCCCAAAAAATCAAAAAATATTTATTTTTTGTAACAATAGTTAAAAAATCCAAAAAGTTTTTCGAGTTTCGAAAAATCCGGAATATATGTAGGTATATGTATAGGAATATAGCCCCTACCGACTTCTATTCACATACCAAATTTTAGATCGATACCTCTTTTTTGGCCAAGTTATAGTGAAAAAAATGTTCAAAAATTGATGCCGTCAAATTTTCAAACTCGATTTTTAGCCATTCTAGACCTTATAGCGCAAAACGAAGATTACCATTAGACTCGCCGTGACGAGTTGTATCGAATCAATACCCGTTTTATACAAAAATATCATTTTTGAAATTTGACCTTTTTTGACCTGACATTGACCTGACCTCCACCAGGAAGTGAGCTAAACCGTTCCTGATGGTCTTATAACCAACACCATTGAGTTGAAATGAAAAAAAAAATTAGCCCTAAAACATGCATCGCACAGCCCTAGTAAAATTGATATAACGAGGCTTGAAATGATCTCACGCATGTCAAGGTGTTTTTATTTTAGGCAAAATAAATATCTAAAACAGTAAAACAAGCTTTCGGCATTACGCCATCATCAAGTTTGAATAAATTAACATGTTTTTGATTTTCAAAAGCTAGAGCACAATCATATTGTTCCAGGCATCCTCATAGCAGCTCACTTTTTTAAACGTATTGCAATACGTTGCAAATAGTGTGGTACATTGCACATGGCAAGTAAATAATGTACAACAATGTATCATTACGTACGCTACAACATGACATGCACACAATATATCATAGGTACAACAAGGTCTATAAATCTCATCTCAACATCAGCCGCATACATCATCAACACCCGGTTGCAGTAAACATTGACATTATAACCATATTGAAAAACATTGCCGCTGTTCTTAGCTCGATTCCAGTCAACTGCAGTCGTGAGTCGGGCAAGTCAGTTAGGTGCATGTGTACGTGTGCGTGTGCGTGGTAGAGTAAACATGTGAAACAAAGGGTAGAGATAAGTGAGTGAGTGTATAAGTTTGTGAGAGAGTGAGTGAGTGAGAGAGTGAGTGAGTGTGTGAGTGAGGGGTGAGTGAATGAGAGAGAAGTGTGTGTGTGTGTGTGTGTGTGTGTGTGTTATGACCTATGGTTTACGAGCGAGGGGCCATGAGCTTTTCATCATGTTTAATGTGGGCCTTAGGTCTCTAATTTTGATGGATTCAGTGATTTTTAGTTCAGCAGAATCCCGTCCCCAACCGATTATATCAATAGTAAAGGCGGAGTTGATTTCAGTGCTACTTGCGTTAAAGTGCGAATCGGCAATATGTTCACCTAGTGGGGTGTCTGGTTTTCTCAGGCGAGCGTCACTTAGGTGCTCGTTGAATCGATAACGTACAGGGCGGGTGCTTTCTCCGATATAAAATTCAGTTCGTCCGTTTCTTTCACAGAGGCTACAGGTAATTTTATAGACTATGTTTTTCTTAGTACACTTACCCTTCAGCCCACTCTCACAGGTGTGACAGTGCTTAGTCCCGGCTGGGCAGGGCGGTTTAGAGAAGGCGGAAGAGATAAGTTTGTTTCCTATTGTGGGACCACTAATCCAGGCTACTTTGATATTAGTTTTAGATCTTCTCAAAACACCATTGACTCTTCTAACGACGTTTTCGTCTAAATAGGGAAGCCGCATGAATATCTCGTTTTCTTTGTTGCGCCGAGTTTTACGTTCACTACGCTTGCGAAGGTTATTCTTTATGCTCGTGTCTAACATGGCTGTTGGGTACCCGTTCTGCTCAAACAGAAGTTTTACCCGCTTTACGCTGCGATCCCTCGTTCGGTCGTCAGATGACACCCTCATCGCTCGCTTGATCTGGGAATTGAGAACGGCCTTCTTGGTACTCATGGGGTGGGCGGACGTAAAGTGGAGAATGATCGGGGCTGCCATCGGTTTAAAGTATAATTCCGTGGTGTACTCACCGGTGGGGTATACTGTTATGAGGGTATCTAAGAAAGGAAGTTGACCGGTGCTGAAGGTAGACTCCATTGTGAAGCTTATGGATCGGTTGTAAGCATTAATACAGTTGAAAAAATGGTTCAGGCGATCAATCCCATGTGTCCAGACCCCGACAATATCGTCAATGTAGCGTAAGTAAAGGACAGGGGCAAATTCCAAGCTCGACATAAATCCAGTCTCTAGTATATGCATAAAGGTGATCGCCACGGGAGGGGCTATCCTGTTTCCCATCGCGATGCCTGACGTTTGCTTGAATATTTTAGATCCGAAGCGCACGAAATTGTTAGTAAGAACATGACTCAGCAGTGTGCGAAATTCAATTCTAAAATATTCAAGCAAACGTCAGGCATCGCGATGGGAAACAGGATAGCCCCTCCCGTGGCGATCACCTTTATGCATATACTAGAGACTGGATTTATGTCGAGCTTGGAATTTGCCCCTGTCCTTTACTTACGCTACATTGACGATATTGTCGGGGTCTGGACACATGGGATTGATCGCCTGAACCATTTTTTCAACTGTATTAATGCTTACAACCGATCCATAAGCTTCACAATGGAGTCTACCTTCAGCACCGGTCAACTTCCTTTCTTAGATACCCTCATAACAGTATACCCCACCGGTGAGTACACCACGGAATTATACTTTAAACCGATGGCAGCCCCGATCATTCTCCACTTTACGTCCGCCCACCCCATGAGTACCAAGAAGGCCGTTCTCAATTCCCAGATCAAGCGAGCGATGAGGGTGTCATCTGACGACCGAACGAGGGATCGCAGCGTAAAGCGGGTAAAACTTCTGTTTGAGCAGAACGGGTACCCAACAGCCATGTTAGACACGAGCATAAAGAATAACCTTCGCAAGCGTAGTGAACGTAAAACTCGGCGCAACAAAGAAAACGAGATATTCATGCGGCTTCCCTATTTAGACGAAAACGTCGTTAGAAGAGTCAATGGTGTTTTGAGAAGATCTAAAACTAATATCAAAGTAGCCTGGATTAGTGGTCCCACAATAGGAAACAAACTTATCTCTTCCGCCTTCTCTAAACCGCCCTGCCCAGCCGGGACTAAGCACTGTCACACCTGTGAGAGTGGGCTGAAGGGTAAGTGTACTAAGAAAAACATAGTCTATAAAATTACCTGTAGCCTCTGTGAAAGAAACGGACGAACTGAATTTTATATCGGAGAAAGCACCCGCCCTGTACGTTATCGATTCAACGAGCACCTAAGTGACGCTCGCCTGAGAAAACCAGACACCCCACTAGGTGAACATATTGCCGATTCGCACTTTAACGCAAGTAGCACTGAAATCAACTCCGCCTTTACTATTGATATAATCGGTTGGGGACGGGATTCTGCTGAACTAAAAATCACTGAATCCATCAAAATTAGAGACCTAAGGCCCACATTAAACATGATGAAAAGCTCATGGCCCCTCGCTCGTAAACCATAGGTCATAACACACACACACACACACACACACACACTTCTCTCTCATTCACTCACCCCTCACTCACACACTCACTCACTCTCTCACTCACTCACTCTCTCACAAACTTATACACTCACTCACTTATCTCTACCCTTTGTTTCACATGTTTACTCTACCACGCACACGCACACGTACACATGCACCTAACTGACTTGCCCGACTCACGACTGCAGTTGACTGGAATCGAGCTAAGAACAGCGGCAATGTTTTTCAATATGGTTATAATGTCAATGTTTACTGCAACCGGGTGTTGATGATGTATGCGGCTGATGTTGAGATGAGATTTATAGACCTTGTTGTACCTATGATATATTGTGTGCATGTCATGTTGTAGCGTACGTAATGATACATTGTTGTACATTATTTACTTGCCATGTGCAATGTACCACACTATTTGCAACGTATTGCAATACGTTTAAAAAAGTGAGCTGCTATGAGGATGCCTGGAACAATATGATTGTGCTCTAGCTTTTGAAAATCAAAAACATGTTAATTTATTCAAACTTGATGATGGCGTAATGCCGAAAGCTTGTTTTACTGTTTTAGATATTTATTTTGCCTAAAATAAAAACACCTTGACATGCGTGAGATCATTTCAAGCCTCGTTATATTAATAATAATCATGTCATCCATCCTCGCCCACATAAAAAACTAGTAAAATTGGGTTCATTTGCCGACTGGGTGTTAAGGTTTGGGGGAAATTAAAATATGCCACACGGTTTCTACGTGTCTGGGGCACGATAATGTCAGTGGAGCACCATGTTTTGCAAAAAAAAAAGTCCAAAATGACACACACTTGTCACCACGTGACCCCCGATGACTGCGGGTATACCCTCGTGACCCCCGGCTTTGACTGCAGGTGCATTCACGTGACCGACATCGGCATGGGCTACTTGTCGACGATGACGTCTCTGACGTCTCTGACGCTCCGCTGGTGCACGCAGATCAGAGACTTTGGTCTGCACCACCTCTGCTCCATGAGAAACCTGCTGGTGCTCAGTTTGGCAGGTGAGCCGGGCAGCACACAACACTATATATACAGTGAGCCGGGCAGCACACAACACTATACATACAGTGAGCCGGGCAGCACACAACACTACATACAGTGGGACTCTCACTATACACAGTCAGACGGGCGGTACAAAACACTATACAATAAAGTACATAGACAGTGAGGCGGTCAGCAGTCAACACTACATACAATGAGTTGGGTGGCACACAACACTATATACAGTGAGCCGCGCGGCACACAACACTACATACAGTGAGCCGGGCGGCACACATCAGTCAACACTACATACAATGAGCCGGGCGGCACACAGCAGTCAGCACTACATATAATGAGCCGGGCGGCACACATTAATCAACACTACATACAATGAGTTGGGTGGCACACAACACTATATACAGTGAGCCGCGCGGCACACAACACTACATACAGTGAGCCGGGCGGCACACATCAGTCAACACTACATACAATGAGTTGGGTGGCACACAACACTATATACAGTGAGCCGGGCGGCACACAACACTACGTACAGTGAGCCGGGCGGCACACATCAGTCAACACTACATACAATGAGTTGGGTGGCACACAACACTATATACAGTGAGCCGGGCGGCACACAACACTACATACAGTGAGCCGGGCGGCACACAACACTACATACAGTGAGCCGGGCGGCACACATCAGTCAACACTACATACAATGAGTCGGGCGGCACACAACACTATATACAGTAAGCCGGGCGGCACACAGCAGTCAACACTAAATACAATGAGCCGGGCGGCACACATCAGTCAACACTACATACAATGAGCCGGGCGGCACACAGCAGTCAACACTACATACAATGAGCCGGGCGGCACACATCAGTCAACACTACATACAATGAGCCGGGTGGCACACAGCAGTCAGCACTACATATGTACAATGAGCCGGGCGGCACACATTAGTCAACACTACATACAATGAGTTGGGTGGCACACAACACTATATACAGTGAGCCGGGCGGCACACAGCAGTCAGCACTACATACAATGAGCCGGGCGGCACACAGCAGTCAGCACTACATATGTACAATGAGCCGGGCGGCACACAACACTATATACAGTGAGCCGGGCGGCACACAACACTACATACAGTGAGCCGGGCGGCACACAACACTACATACAGTGAGCCGGGCGGCACACAACACTACATACAGTGAGCCGGGCGGCACACATCAGTCAACACTACATACAATGAGTCGGGCGGCACACAACACTATATACAGTGAGCCGGGCGGCACGCAGCAGTCAACACTACATACAATGAGCCGGGCGGCACACATCAGTCAACACTACATACAATGAGCCGGGCGGCAAACAGCAGTCAACACTACATACAATGAGCCGGGCGGCACACATCAGTCAACACTACATACAATGAGCCGGGCGGCACACAGCAGTCAGCACTACATATAATGAGCCGGGCGGCACACATTAATCAACACTACATACAATGAGTTGGGTGGCACACAACACTAAATACAATGAGCCGGGCGGCACACATCAGTCAACACTACATACAATGAGCCGGGCGGCAAACAGCAGTCAACACTACATACAATGAGCCGGGCGGCACACATCAGTCAACACTACATACAATGAGCCGGGCGGCACACAGCAGTCAGCACTACATATAATGAGCCGGGCGGCACACATTAATCAACACTACATACAATGAGTTGGGTGGCACACAACACTATATACAGTGAGCCGGGCGGCACACAGCAGTCAACACTACATACAATGAGCCGGGTGGCACACAGCAGTCAACACTACATACAATGAGCCGGGCGGCAAACAGCAGTCAACACTACATACAATGAGCCGGGCGGCACACATCAGTCAACACTACATACAATGAGCCGGGCGGCACACAGCAGTCAGCACTACATATAATGAGCCGGGCGGCACACATTAATCAACACTACATACAATGAGTTGGGTGGCACACAACACTATATACAGTGAGCCGGGCGGCACACAGCAGTCAGCACTACATACAATGAGCCGGGCGAGAATGTCACTATATTCAGTACACCGGGCGGCACACAACACTTGGTATGTACATGCCTATATAACATGAGATGTGCTGGCACACTGACAGCTTCAAGGGTGATGGCACATATGAATTGCATTTCAATGGTAGTCTGACATGGTAGTCTGACAAAAACCACCCATTAGTTGTGGGCGGTTCGTGTCCGTGCCGTCACCGCTCTGTGCGGGCGCCAGTGACGTGTTGGCTCTGCCGGCAGGCTGTACGCAGCTGTCGCCCAGCGGTCTGTCCAGTCTGGTTCAGCTCCGCCAGCTGGTGGAGCTCGAGCTGACCAACTGCCCCGGCAGCTCGCACGAGCTCAATGACTACCTGAGGGAGAACCTGCCCCACTGCTGGGTCTACGACTGAGCAACTGAGCGCGGCGCTGTGCCGCTGCGTCTGCGGCAGCCACTCGGAGCAGTCAGCGCGCCCGCTTTCGGCGCGGTCCGCAGGCTGGTTGTACAGCCCGCCGGCTGAGCGGCCGATCGATGAGCCCCCCGCCCGCTCAGCGGCTCACACGTGTCATTAGCCGTGTCTATGCGGGAGCGCTCCATTGACCGTCTTACAAGGTGTTACCCATGTGGGTGTATCGTGTGTCAATTGTCATAGACTAAAACTGAGCGTTCCGAGGAGATCCTGTGGCGGCGCCCTGCTGACGGGGCTCTGTGCCTGCCAGACACAGAGGGCCAGGGAGCCGGCGCCCTGCTGACGGGGCTCTGTGACTGCCAGACACAGAGGGCCAGGGAGCCGGCGCCCTGCTGACGGGGCTCTGTGACTGCCAGACACAGAGGGCCAGGGAGCCGGCGCCCTGCTGACGGGGCTCTGTGCCTGCCAGACACAGAGGGCCAGGGAGCCGGCGCCCTGCTGACGGGGCTCTGTGCCTGCCAGACACAGAGGGCCAGGGAGCCGGCGCCCTGCTGACGGGGCTCTGTGCCTGCCAGACACAGAGGGCCAGGGAGCCGGCGCCCTGCTGACGGGGCTCTGTGACTGCCAGACACAGAGGGCCAGGGAGCCGGCGCCCTGCTGACGGGGCTCTGTGACTGCCAGACACAGAGGGCCAGGGAGCCGGCGCCCTGCTGACGGGGCTCTGTGCCTGCCAGACACAGAGGGCCAGGGAGCCAGGGACGGCGGCAGTGGGCCAGGGATGGCGGCAGTGCACAGTGGGGATTTTTACGTTCCAGCGCGACTTTATTCCAAAACCCCTTTTTCGCTTTGGATAGCTTTTTTTTGTATCAGTTGGATTAGGAAATGTCTGAAATTTTCATATTTGGCATTGTTTTGTCTGTGTGTTCACAGAAAAGCGATGAAAAACGTGCCCAAAGTTCACATTTGTACGCAATTCAATGGGCTCAGTAAAAGTATCCAAAAGTAGGCCTCACTTTCATTGGCTGGTCCTGTTTGTTTTATTTGAACGGGATTTTTAAATTGCTTATCTCATATGAAAAGCGCATTGGCATGAGGAAGGGGATGACAAGCAGAAATTAAACCATAACCTAACTAAGGTTACAAAAATGTCATTTTTAAAGAACCCTTAATGCCGCCCCACACTGGACCTCGCATGCGGGTTGCGAGTTTGCGGGTTTTGAGTTTGCTGGCATGATGCTGATTTATAGAGTGATTAGACCGTTCCCTCATGGTAAGTTCATGATTGCAGTGAAGCCGGCACACCTTCAAACAATTACATATAGTCGCAATACCAGCGTAACGAACCAAAATTCGACTCCAACGAAAAACCCGCAAACCTCGCAGAACTCGCAGACCTCGCAGCGAGGAAAATCGAAAGTTGACACAAAATCAACTTTTGGAATGCGATCCAAGGTGGCTCGCAAGCTAAGAACATGCAGACTCGCTTGTTAGATGGTAGTATGGGTCAAACAGCATACATTGTATTATTTAATTTTGAAGAAACCCGAAAACCCAAAAACCCGCAACCCGCATCCGAGTTCCAGTGTGGGGCGGCCATTACAGGCACCATATTAACCCACGCCCCGTAGGGGAGGGGGCCGAAACGGCCCCGCCTGTCCTTTTCCGTGTATATCTCCTAAACGGCTGCAGACATCGCCACCAAACCTTCAGGACCCCTCCGGGCATCAATTTTACACATTGTGACCAAAGGTTTTTCCAGAGGCTATGATAGGTTGGCCACAAATGACGTCAGAATGACGTCATGTTCTGCCATTTTCGACCGAAAAAAGAGCTTCGCGAGTAGAGCTGTCGGGACTACAGCTTTGAAGATGCAAAAACAATATAAAGACATAAAAGGTGTAAAATTCACAGGGCTACAAAACTGCAGTCTCGGATGTTTGAAATTTTTGAATTTTGACCCCAACAATAAAAAAGTAATTGACTACTTTTGATACATCTCAGTGGCCGTCGTGGCACGTGCCAAGTGAGAAGTCAAGGGTGTTCAAGCTGTTTTGCAAAAGTAGTGATTTTGAGAGGCTCATATCTCAGCAGCCGCTTGGGCGATTGTCTTGCGGTAATTTTTTTGTAGGGTAGCTGCATCCCTTGTACCAAAGTTCGGACACTCTTGATCTATGTGAGTGACCCCCACTGCACGTGCAAAATGCAAAAGTAGGGGTGCCAAATTCTTCCCATTTCAATAACTCTGTAATTACTGGGGCGATTTCGCTGAAACTTGGCTTACAGGTAGGCACCCGCCAGACAATGCATTCCCACGTGTTGGGGTTAGGGTGCTACTGCACGTGCGCACGTGCAGGGGGCGTTTCCAGATCTCGAGAACGGCTGAGTTGATCGCGCTCAAATGAGTTGATCGCCCCAACAGTGTACCGTTGGGGACCGTTTAGTAGGGTGCCGTGCAAAAGTCAGTTTAGACCCCGTTTGGGTTTATTCACTGATTTAAATGTTGCATATTTTCTGAAAGACAAATTCATTAGGAAAAGCATGACAAGCGTAAATTTTACAACGGCCTCAGTACACCTCGCCGACCGAGGGGGGGGGGGGGGGTGCCCTCCCGTAGGGTTTTCCGTGATAGTTCCGAATACGCCGGCGATAGAGAGCTGAAACTTCGCATACCTGACTTTTGATTCAAGCCAAAGCTTGCGACCTCAACTGCATTTTCAGGTCAGGTCAGGTCACTGACCTAAGACGATATAAAAGAACCTCTGCAGGGTCCTCAGATGTCGTAACTTCGCAACGCCCTCAGTGCTAGAGCAGCTTTCACTGGGAGATGAAACTAACAGGAGGTGGTATCCTCGAGAGGTCTGAAAACTCGTGCACCTAGATTTTTTTAAAAGGTCACATGAGGTCAGGTCGCTCACGTGACCTCACCATTATAAGTCAATGGAGTAAAATGAAAACTGCTATTTAGGCGCCGGGAACGATCTCAAACCATCTCAAGCACAAGAAATCGTGATTTTATGCACTCCTTGTAGAGTCTGATCACTCTGATGCTTCACTTTTGCATTGGTAACCTTTCCTGACGCCATTATTACGTCACTAGGGTCATAAAAGTTATTAGTCAATAACTCCTGAGTCCTGAGTAACCCTCGCCCTGGCAGGGCATTTTTCATAAAGCGGCCTGGCAGGGTGAGGGGTCGATGCGCCTCCCTCGCGATTGGCTTCTATGACACCAAGAAACACCAAATTTGGTGGGTAGGTGGCCCCTTGGAGTTCTTGCTCCTGTGCAAATTTGGTTGCTCAAGGTCAATATTTTGGAGGGTTTGGGGGAATAAATGTAAAAAATTCGCTAAAACAGGTCAAAAGTTTTTCGTTGATACCCCCCCCCCCCTCCAGACTTTTCGACATATCTTCAGAACCGCTGCGCCGATCGTCACCAAACTTTCAGTATCTTCCCCAACAGCAATTTTACCCATTGTGACCAAAAACTTTTCCAAAGGCTATGATAGGTTGGCCGAAAATGACGTCAGAGTGACGTATGTTCTGCCGTTTTCGACAAAAAAAAAAAAGGTTTCACGGGAAGAGCTGTCAGGTCTATAGCTTTGAAGATACAGAAACCGTTTGAAAATAAAAGGTGTAGAATTACCAGGGCTACAAAACTGCCATCTCATAATTTTGAATTTTTTGAATTTATACCCCAAAAAAATTTGAATGCAATTGCCAAAAAATCCAAAAAGCTTTTCGATTTTCGAAAAAAACGGAATACATGAGACAGCCCTTACCGACTTCCATTACCATACACAATTTAAGATTGATGCTTTTTTTGGCCAAGTTCTAGGGAAAAACTGTTCAAAATTGATGACGTCATATTTCTAAACTCATTTTTTTAGCAATTCTAGACCACTTAGCGCAAAATAAAAACCACCATTAGTTTCGCCGTGACGAGTTGCATCGAATCAAAAATCCATTTTATGCAAAAGTATCAACTTTGAATTTTGACCTTTTTTGACCTGACAATTGACATTGACCTCACCTCCACCAGGAATTGACCTAAACCGTTTCTGATGGTCTTATAACCAACACCATTGAGTTTGAAATGAAAAATTGGCCATAAAACATGCATCACACAGCCCTAGTAAAATTTGGTTCATGTGCTGACCCTTGGTGACCTGACTTGTGACCTGACCTGGTATTATCAGTGACCTCTAATAGCAACATATGTACTAGGTAACTGATACACTATCGCTGATTTTCGATAAAATGAGTTTTACTCGATGTTACAGCGCATTTCCTGGAAGACCCGTGACCGGCAAAATATTTTATCTTTGACCTGACCTGTGACGACATCGGTGACACCGAGGTCAATGAAATTGGAATCCCCTAACTTAAGCATGACTTAACCCGGCAGGCGTTGGGCTTCCCGGCCACCTTCCGCGCGGTGGGGGGAGGACATTCCCCCCCTGTATCTCCGAAACTACTGGACGGATCCGTAAAATTCAAACGGCGTTCGATAGCCCTGCCAAATTTGTCGAAGGAAACCAAAGTTCATTGACCTTGAGGTCACCAATGACGTCACAGGTCAGGTCATATAATAAAATGTTTCACCGTTCACGGGCCTTCTAGGGAATGCACTATAACAGCGAGTAAAACGCATTTTGTCCAAAATCAGAGATAGGGCGTCAGTTGCCTAGTACATATGATGCTATTAGAGGTCACTGATAATACCAGGTCAGGTCACAGGTCAGGTCACCAAAGGTCAGCTTATGAACCCAACTTTACTAAGGTTGTGCGATGCATGTTTTATGGCCAATTTTTCATTTCCAACTCAATGGTGTTGGTTACAAGACCATCAGGTACGCTTTAGGTCACTTTCTAGTGGCGCTCAGGTCAAGGTCAGGTCAAAAAGGTCAAATTTCAAAGTTGATAGTTTTGCATAAAATGTATATTGATTCAATGCAGCTCGTCACGGGGAGTCTAATGGTGGTCTTTGTTTTGCGCTACGAGGTCTAGAATTGCTAAAAATTGAGTTTGAAAATTTGTCGTCATCAATTTTGAACAGTTTTTCGCTATACCTTGGTAAAAAGAGGTATCGATCTCAAATGTGGTATGTGGATAGAAAGCGATAGGGACTATAACATATATTCCGGTTTTTCGAAGTTCAAAAACTATAGATTTTTTGTTGTTATATTCAAAAGTCTATTTTTTTCTTGGCGCTCAAATCCAAAAATTCTAAAAATCCGAAATAGCAGTTTTGTAGCCCTCTTAATTCTACACCTTTTACGTCCGAAACATTTTTCTGTATCTCTAAAGCTGTAGGCCTGATAGCTCTTCCCGCGAAACCTTTTT